CAAAAAAATTTATTAGTCAAAAGTTGTTGCTTTTGATAAGTTGAACGCGTGGTTCAAATTTTAGAAGTTGTTTCTTGGTCACCCTGTATTACCCAGGATAAGACAATGGAATGTCAAAAATTAACCATCATATACCAATTTATGTTTGTTTTTTATCTTTGAGTTTGTAATGTGTGATTTAAATAACGTTTTAAAATGTTAAAAGATATTTGCGACATCATATTCACCGTGAATTATATGATTATAAAGAAAAAAACCCGGGTAAACTAAAAAAATCTGGAAGTAGCCAATGCAATGGTCTAAAAGAAGTAAACTTTTTGTATGCTTTTTTGAAAGGTGAATCCTTTTTAATCCTCCCAATTCCAAACTTTATATTTTAGATTTTAAATTTCTTTTTAAATTTTTTAAACTTTGTCACATTACGTTATTTACGTTGTATAAAAACCAAGTTGAATTCTATGCAACATGCAATATGATAATAATAAAATATTGTAGGTAGTATATACTAAGTAGTAATATTCATTAGCTTCTATTTCCTGAGGGGATCATTTTTTGTTTATCTGTAAATGACAAAGTTCAAAAAATAAGAATTTCCGACCCTACCAAAAGATCATTTTGTACAGCGGGATGCAGTGGCGGCTCGTGACATTGAGAATAGGTGAAGCATATTCATTGGTTAGCTAAAAAGAAAAAAAAAGACGCATGCGAAAATTTTCAAATTTTCAAGGTCAAACGGTTTCAAATGAATCTGGAAATTTTTAGTTGCGTTTGCAATATTACTGAAAAACTGACGTCCGCGAGAAGGATTTTCATTTAGATTTCATAAAAAATAGAAATACTATTAAACACGGCATACAGAAAAGTTTTTTTAAATAAACACTTCCACACAACCACTTATACTCCGAATACCATTCATTCCGAAACTTCCGAACGTACACTTTGTCTTTTGACTTCCCCCCTTTTTTCAACATCGAGAGAAGGCACAGGTCTCTCGCAATTTAAAAAATCCTTTTCGTCCAAAATTTTCCATCTGGAAAATGGCGTTTCCAATAAAATACATACTGGATCATACATAGAAAACATTTGTACAATTATTGATACAAAACAAATATTAACAAAGAACCGTAAACTGTTTAAAGTAAAGGCAGGCCCATGGGCGATGTCGATGCTGCTTCAATTTCCGCGTCACTCGTTCCCCCACGCCGTAGTTTAATCACATATTAACCGCCTCGTTGCCATGACAACCGCCGTAAACAATGCTACGAAGTGAAGACTAATTTCAATCCGCGTCATTTGCTTATGCTGTACGAAGTTGATGTTCGCACTCAACGAAGGCAATGTTTTTTAGAAGGCGGTCATCGCGCAACTATTCTGTTCATTTCTGCGTATAAAACAAACAAACAATACATTTTCAATATAGAATTATACCTAAATTTTAAAGTTTATATAAAATTAAAAATAATTTTAAATTGCACAACCAAACGGAAATTTTAGGTGAAGCGGTGCGTCACTTGCGTCACCTAGCGAGCCGCCACTGGCGGTATGTACAAAATGATCGCATGAGGGTGGACAAAATAATCCCCTAACAGATTTTTTACCCTGGTCTCTAAATGAATAAAACAAACATGTTCAAATACAAATTTATTTAAAGCGTTAACAAGAACAAAAAACAAATATTTTTAGTGAAATAAATATTCATAATGGCAATGGATTTTACATTCTAATACAGTGGGAAAGTTACCTAAACATTCAATTTTATCAACAGCATTTAATTTTTTCCTTTCGCCCGCCTTTTCAGGGACATCATTGGAACACCATGATTTTTACTCGCTGTTTTAAAAGGCATTCCGTTCTGAACATCTTGATTAGCCGAATGAAGTCATAGCGTCGCTGTCCCAGCTTTGCCTATTAGTTTTGCGTACATAATTCCGTGGCCTTATAGAATATTCTGAAAGAAACAAAACATTAGAGCAAATCAATTCCGTGATAAACCAAACTTGAGGCAAAATGATCCCGGGGTCATTTTGTACAAAGACTAGGGGATCATTTTGCTCCCCGAGGTGTTCCGAAACTTGAAACGTCATACCTAACCTATACAAAAGTGGAATTTCTGAACTAATATACCTAAATTAACCTTGATATTTATGTAGTTACCGGTGCCAAAACAATAAAGAAAAAACCATTCGGCAATGGAAAAACACATCACTATATTGAAGCTTACCTTAGATCACAGGATACAAACTTTAATATCTCTCGTCACCCACGTAAAACTTAACTGACGCTGCAGATAGAACAACACTGTACTAAAGGCGTGTCGATAAGTAAGTTCACGTTATTATTGGTGATTTAAAACTAGTGGCGCCAATGAACACATCAGGGATAAGTTTACCTCGAGGGATCATTTTGTACATCTATCCCCTAAAAGTCACAAAATTACACTTAACATTTGTTAAGATAGAATTCCAAGAAATCCATTGCATCACTTTCTTGGAACTAACCGCATTCGACACCCGAGATAGAAAGATATATAGGCACGCCTCTGCCGCGATAAATTGTTACAGTAGTTCCGATAACAGAACTTTATTGGCTTATTCATTTCTTGGAATTATATTTCAACAAATATTGTACTGTACTTTCATCTAACCATAAACTATTTTAATCCGACTAATTATTAAATTTTGCGATAATAACAACTTTGTGTCGGGAGATCTCAATGGCCGATGAGAACAGTAACTGAATTATAGATTATTTAGTAGCCGAAACTGTCATAAATGCTACAAGTAGAACTAACGATGTTACTGATATATTCACTAATATATTGTCTAATTTTTCTCATTTAAACGTAGTTAGTCAGAACAACTGAAGAAATTCAGACAATTTCAGGTGTTGTCAATAGTCAATGGTATAGTTGATGTATTCATTAATGTGTAGGTACATAACATTTTACCAATATTGGCATTAATTATTTTGTAGTAACAATATATTTATAACTACGAATAAGAGATTTGTTAATATTTTTTATTTTTCCAATTTCCTGCCACACATAGAAAGTGTAAGAGACAGTACCAAATTTGAATTCCTCATATCCGATTTACTATGGTTGGTGTCCCTGAATGGTAATTATATCTTCTACAACCCAATGGCGCTTTATACAGGGTGTAAATTAATAAGTGCATAAAATTTAGGGGTGATTCCCTGTCGAAAAATAAGGTGGTTCTTTCATATAAAAACATCTCATTTGGACATCCCCTACGAAGATACAACCGCTTAAAGAGGTTTTTAATTTTTTTCTGAAATACCAAAAAATTTGCAGAACTAAAATTAAGTAGACGTTTTCTGCTGTAGAGAAGGCATTCAGTAAACAATTTGTTGATGTTCCCCTACGGTTCTAAGGGGTAGAAAAAACCACCCCGAAGACTTGTTTCAGACGTAACTTTTTTTCTTGTTACTATCTTACCATTTACAAATTCATTTCAGATTTCATTCTAAATAAAAAAAGGTCTATTGTATTTTTTTTTGTAAAATTAACGGTTTCTGAGCAAAAAAATTATTTACAATCAATTACACTTCATGATTGGCATAAGGTAGAAATTTTATCGAACTGTAATTTATCTAGTAGGGGGTTGTCACGATGACATTTTGTAATGGTAACTTATTTGTTATAATTGATTCAATAATTTTATTAAATACGTGAAAAAAACCTGTATTTTTATGTAGTAGTAGAAAAATTTGAATTTGGAACTGCATAGGTTTTATACCTATGGATTTCCAAATCGTAAGAAGAAGAAAAAGAATTTCTTTCTATTCTAATTCTGTGTCACTGATGCTAATTAAATCCGTTTCTGGAAACAACCACAGTGAGGACATGAACATTAAAATAACATTGAAACGTCCTGCTAATCCACGTTATTTTGAGTTTATTTTACGTCAAGTTTTTCAGCACTAAAATAACTCCCCTTTTAAGCTTTTATAGATATAACTACTTCACAGCTTGGTATAACGTTTCTTCCCTTGGCGTTAGTTAAACTACAATAATTTTGTTTTGTTAAATTTTGCTTGTATAAAGCTTAATTGTAATGTTTATGTAGCCTATGAACTTAACATTTCTCATAAGCTATATTATAGTTTTTCAACCATTATGATTTTACTGGGAAATATTTTATGATATATCATGGTTTTAATATGATAGTTGGTAATAATAATTTTTACCTACAAATCGAACTAAGAAAAATATAATTAGAATGTGTTACATCAATATACTTATACCTACATTAAACTGATTATTTCGCACTGCCAGAATGGTAGAAATAAAATAGTATTGTAAAATTTTGTATATTCATTAGCGGAGGGTCATATACTCATTTGATTGAGAGATATCATTTAGCTTAAATGTTTATTAGTTTTTATTCTTATATGTACTTACCTTATTAACAAGTCAATCTCCTCAAAAAAAAATGTTCACAAGATCACTTGACCATAGCAATACCTCTTTTGTTTTATTACAAGTGTAAGAAAACTATTTAAGTCATTATAATTACCAAGAATACACTTTTGACCTTGCTATTATACTTATAAATTATAATTGCACAGTTGGCTGTCGAAATTCTCATCATTCTTTTGAGAATAACGTTTTTATTGTTTTACTAAATTTCTTTTATAGTTTTAATTGTTAAAATTATTGAATCCGTTTAAATATTCGAAAGTATTTTTTAAAGTAAAATTGTGTGAGTCGGCAGTAATAATTTGTCTCTTTTTGAAGATTTAGTTTCCCCAATATTTTTTCAAATTACATGACTCATTTTTAACGAAACAAATGGGGGATACGGTATTTTATTTGATATGTACCTCCGCAGAATAGTTGTTTCCCCTATATTGCCATTAGTAATATACTTATTATTATATTTGTGTATTTTAGTTGTAAATATTTTCTAATTTTTATCTATAATGAATATCCTAGATTTGAAATAATTTGAGGTTACATCATTTATTTTCTTTTTCAGCATGTTTCCGACGAGTCTTGGCAGGAAAACGTGCCGCACGCAGATGCGTCAAGCGTGCTTTCACTTGTGAGACCGTGGAACAATGCCAAAGAGAGTGTGCCGATGAAAAGTACTTTATTTGCGAAGGATTCAATTACAGGTAATTATTTTTTAATGAAAAAATTATTATTAATATTTTCTACAAACATATATTTTTTACACATATAAAATTAGCCTTGATGGCACCTTTTGGTGTAAGAGTTGATAAACTTAAAAGAATACAAATCAGTTATTTAAAATACAGTTGTACTTAATTTTACGTAATTAAATGTAGGAATTTTTGATCTGGAATATATTTTTTTCTGAACAATTTTTGCCTAAAATGTATATGCTGGCACTATCTACGAATATAGATAAAACGAATGATAATATGTTTTTTCTATTACTTTAAAATATACTCAAATTTCATATAATAATATACTCAATCGAAGTTTCCCAACTAATTTAACATCCTTAAAAATTTTTTTTTTATTGTATTTTTTTGTAATAGGTATTCTAGAATTGAGAACATTAGATTTATATTTTTCGTTTTCATAAAATTAAGACCGAACTTAATAGTTCTGTTACGTTACCTATGTAATTATCTATTTGTCTTAAAAAATGGACAATGAGGATGGATTAGGAATGCATATATTTAATTAGCATGTGTGAAAATGTTATGATAATTTAAAACAATTAATTTTGACCTCGCATCATTTATAACAAGGGAAGTATATGTTTATTCGTACATTATATTAAAATTAACTCAAAATTAACTATATAAAAACTGAATGCTAATTACCTACTTGTCTGTACAATGCCACGAATCCTCATTTTACTTTTATATGATTCTATAGGATCAGTACGGTAAGTGAATTAAAACTTAAATTAACTGTTTTACACACGCAATTAATTGTGTGTATTTTAATCAGTTTTGTTGGCTTTAAGTACCTATACATGTATACATGTATAACAGTTGATCTTCTTATCCATTTCTTCTTTTTCTTCTCTTTAATATATTTGCATACATTTATACAAAATAGGGTTGTTTCCTTTGTTTATATAGTCTTTTTCAATAGATTTGATTCTTTGACAAACATACTTCATCACTTCTTATGTTTGTCACTGTTAAAGACATACAATCAATTATTCCTTGTATCCAATAGACAATTTCAGCTCAGGATATGTCAATAGTTAGCAATGGCGCTCCCTCATGATTAAATTCGCCATATTATAGATTTACTCTTAACAAGTAGCCGCTATTATTGGTCATTGTTGATACTACCATGTAAATTGTATAGATGACACTACAAAATTTGCTGATAAAGAATTAGAAATTTACTCTGTTAATACAGTACGTTGTCATTTCTCCATTTTGATATTATTTTCTGGAATCCCAATGAAACCAAATTGTACTATTAAATATACTTTATAAGTACCTATTTTATATTGATATAACATTTTGTATGGAACTGAATCTAAGAATGCAGCTCTATTATACAACAGAGGTTTACAGAAGCTTCAGTCGGAAATAAGTATTGGCAACAATTTCCGAACAGAATACGGCGAATGATCGAGCATCAAACATAAAATATTACCTAACCTTAAAAGTTGACGTAGCGATTCGAAACAGATATAACGTTCATCGTGAAAGTATATTTTATTTTTTCAGCTTTACAGTTTTTTTTACACTTTTTAATACTTTTTTGTGTTCTTCTGATCATACCCACTGTTTAAATTTTAAGATCAGATAAAACACCTTATTTATTTCATCTGCTCGAACCTATTATCGTTTAAAGTATAAAGGATCTGAAATTGTAATCAAAATTTTAACGTAAATAATTCACATCCTGATAATGAAAGTAATAAGCAGTAATAAGCCCTAATGCTTATAGGAAGAAGCTATAATTGGAGGATAATTTCATTGGACTTTTTTTCTAGATGTCAAATTAGTAAATTGTCCTCTTCAAGGAACATTATAAGAAACAACATACGACGTAATAAAATGTAACGTTATGCAACTGCGGCAATTTTGCGTCAGCGTTCCACATGGCTTTATATGTAACATTACTGCGTGCGAAATCCGTATCGTCCTTGCGAGGAGCTGGTGTCAACCAAGGTCCTGGAATTTATATTTATCTGCTTGAAAGAATAGTAACATTAAGAGTTAATATTTTGTAATTTGAAATTTCTGCTATAAATTGACAAAACAATAGACAAGTTTTAAAGTTCTGACATACTGGAAGTATTAAATAATGTAACCTCTCAGAAATCCTATTTTAGTTATCGGGGCCCATAACTATACAGAGTTGCATAAAGTTATGTTGTTAGGACACATCTTTGTTCCTAGCGAAATGTATGCTTCTATCGTGTAGCGTTAGATAGTAGTGGTAGTGGTAAATGAAAAAGTTTTGTGATTGTATTCGAATTTTCTTCCTTATAAATTGTTAATTAAGTACGTCGACAGTCTTTAAATTCTGATAAAGTCCCATTCTTTGAATGATTTTAAGTCAAACAGTTCAAGCATGGGTCCACAAATTTATAGCTTCCGAGATACAGTGTATTGAAACTTGATAAAACTAACATCTAAAGTATCTGTGATGCAGGAAAATAGAACTGAAGCTAATGATTAATCTAATTAAGGTTTGAAATCCAATGAATTCGTATACAAATACATACACCAGTGGCGGAGATACTTGAAGTTACTTTCTACGAAAAACTAACAAATTCATCACCACCATGTATTTTATAAATTGAGTCACTACTTGTAAATCGCAGCGGTATTTTCAAGAAAAATGGAATCTTTCATTTTAATGAGAAAACTTTTCATTTATTACATTTTTAATTTACATTACTGTTACCAAGCATTTCATTAAACCGAATATAAATTTTAATTTATATTAAATAATTAATTATTTAGCTAGTTGTTCCGCAAAAGAGTTAACGGCATTTTTTTCAGGGAATGATTGGCCTAATTTTTTCCATACTGTACCCAATGCTAACGAAGTACAAAATTTCTACGTTCATTTCTACGCTAACGATTTTATTTATTAGGCTTCTTATAATTACTTGTTCTTAATTGAAGGATTAGCAAGAAGAACATATGTAAAAAAATAAATTTAGAAGAGAGCGTTAAAACTGATTTTCTGGAAACAGGTTAAATTAAAAAAGAGGCTCCTTTGTAGGATAATTTATAATCAAAAGTGTGTAATGAAACCTTCTGACTTAATTGTGTTAAAAAACTATACATTTTGAAAAAAATTGATTTTTAGTTTGACAATAACTTAAAAAGTCAATTTTGTGACAAATGTTATTTTTGCTAGAAACCTTTCAATTCATTTTCTAGCTAAAAATTTCACGTATCTAGTTTAGATTTTATGATATGAGATTTTTTACATAATTTCTTATAGTATTTAAAGAAAAAAATTTCTATAAATATTTGGCCGGAAACGCTTAGATTCCGAAATACAGGGTGGGGAAAATTATAAAAAATGATTGATATTTGAAATAAATTTGAAACAGTCAATGTTAGGCTCTTAAAATTTGTCAGTTATTGTGCGTTGGTGAACAGTTGCATTTTTAGTATCAAGTCAATTTTTATCTGCCGCCAGTGGCGTGCTTAGACGTGAGTTAGTCGACGTTTACGTCATAAAATATAGAACGCCAATGAATTTTTAGTATTTTGGGACACGTCAAACATTTTACAACAAAAAATATGTCTTGAAGTTTTTGACTAATACTAACCTAGAAAAAAACTTATTTATTTTATTCAGCGGCAACAAAAATAAGAGATAATATTTTTTGTTGTCTTAGTTACTTGTCTGGTATGATATTGTTGGAATTTTGCTAGTTATAAGTTGTCAGCCAATACTGTGTATTAGATAATAAAATTTTAAAATGAGTAAATTTACTAACCCTGAAATGATTCAGATGCATTTCATCGGCTTAGCAGATGGGATTCCAGAAGAAGCGCTGCGAATTTATCAGGAATGTTATCTTAACAGAGTAACGCCATGTGCTAAAACATTTAGAAAGCTACATCTCGGACTGAGTGAAACTGGTAGTTTTAAGCGTAGTACGGCGAAGTTCCAGGCAGACCTAACAACCCCAGAGTTAGAAGAAGCTATACTTCGAGAGATAGAAGAAGATCCTTCGACCAGTAGCAAGAAGACAGCATCGCAGCTTCATGTTAAGACCAAAGACTGTTTGGAAATTTTGAAAGTTTGTCTGCTATTCCCATACCACCTACAACGAGTACAAGCGCTGCTGCTCCGAGATTTTTAATCAAGACTAGATTTTAATAGGTGGTTGCTCCATTCAGAGACACATAATAACAGTTTTTTGACGAAAATTTGATTTACTAAGAAGTAACTTTTTGGAGAGAAGCAATTATTATTAATTTTCATAATGAACAATTTTGGGCGTACGAAAATCTGCAGGCAATAAGAGATAGTCGTTTTCAGCAATCAGTTTCGCTGAATGTATGGATAGGGATTATTCATGACTCTGTTTTTACCAGCTCGATCAACTGATGACTGGTATAGACAGTTTCTAACCAAAGATGTACTTTACACGTAAGAGCTAATTTCTGGTTTATGCAGTTCATTTCAGCCGTGTTGCTCGTCAGTATCGGTATCTCTACCTTTCCTAATCGCTAGAATGGACGCGCAGGTCTCCAAGCTTGGCCAGCTCGCAATCCTGATATGAATCCTTGCGACTTTTATGTATGGGGTCACCTCAACTCTCTTGCGTATAAGACACCTGTACTAGATGAAAACTAGTTACGAAATCGAATAATTCAAAGTTCTGATGTCATACAAAATTCATCAGAAATTTTTGAACGGGTGAAACTATCAATGATGAAACGATTAGAATCATAGATTTTATCAAAAACCGGTCATTTTCAACATTTGCTGCTTTGATTTTATGTCGAAACTGATTATTTCTTTAATCGTTGTTTATAGTTGCCGGCCATTTTTCTAAGAAGTAGGCAAGATACCTTTTTTGTTGTAAAATGTTAGGCGAGTCCGAAAATAGTAAAAATTTTTAAAAATCCATTGGAGTTCTACATTTTATGACGAAAACGTCGACTGACTCACGCCTTACTATGCCACTGGTGGTAAATAAAAATTGATTTTATATACTAAAAATGCAGCTCTTTACGAACGTACAATAACTGCCAAATTTTAAGAACCTAACATTGTTGTTATTTCAAATATTAATATATTTTTGAAAATGTTCAACACCCTGTATCTCGGAATCTAAGCGTTTCCCACCACATGTTTATAGGAACGTTTTTTCTTTAAATACCATAAGAAATTGTGTCCTGAAGTTACGAACCGTACTTAGGAAACACCCTGTATTTAATACTGACTTCATTTGGAAAGATCTTTGAAAAAAAAATTTTGAATTAGCTTAACAACTTAGAATAAAAAATACGAGAACCAATAATAGAATATATATTTTTAAAAAGGTATCGTCATGCTGCTCTAAAGGTCTACAGAAATATTTTATAAAATACTTGGTATAAAATCGTTCAAGTGATCATCTCTTAAAATGTGGGAACGTAATTAATTAATACGTGTTCAATGAAAGCTATTCATTTTTCTTCATTTTTTAGGTTGGATCCTACAGGTCGCGGTAAGGGAGACTGCGAACTTTTGGACTTGCCCTTGTCTCAACTCGACATAGGTAGGGACTTGTATGCGGATCCAGAATACGACTACTACGAGAGAGACCGCAATGCCGTTTCCGCCAACTGCAAGCAGTGGCCTAACAGGGGTGGTGGCTACTACCCACCGTATAGGGGAAGTTATGGTGGTGGAGGTAGTTATGGAGGTGATAGGGGAGGTTATGACTATGATCATGGATATTATGCAGACAGAAGATACGATGAAAAAAGACCTTCCGGATATAAAGGTAAATGCAAATAAAACTAGATGATATTGATAACAATTTTTCTCGAAAACTGTTAGAGATAAATATGGCAAAACTTATATCAATCGAAAGGACATTTAATTTGGCATTCATCAATTAAGTTGGGTCATTCCATTTGAAAAAAAAAGTGATTTGTCTTCTAAGATTGTCAAATGTAGGTCTTAATATTTCCGGTCCTGAATAACTTATTTTTTAACTAATGAGCCGAAAATGTTAGTGTGAGATAAAAAATGGCCATTTAAAAAAATCATTGTTTTTTTCTAGATATTATTTTATTTACTTTTAAAGCTCTGTATTATTCCAGGTGACAGAGGTCCCTCTGGGTACGATTCCAGCCTAAGGCGTCCGGGAGACCGATGGATAGACGACGATGATTACAAATTCAGACGCTTCAGACCCGGTTATGACTACGATAACCGACCTGGTGGAAACCGTCGCGGAGGTAAATATCTTCCAGTGAGCAAAATATGGGATGTCTTATGCGTCCGACTCACCTAAACAAATTAAGCACCAGATCACAGCACTCGTTATACCAATAAAGCACATTGTACTCTGTAACTTTATATATTTTTTTACTGCCATTAAAAAGTTCGTAGCATAGTAATTTGTTTTATTTTTTGCAGACGTCTCATACCACCACTCTCATTCCCAAGACTATGAGAATAGTCGCAGGTATTATCATGACAGGGATCGATATGATTACCAGGGCAACCGTGGTATCCATTATCTCCCAGCCCATTACTACAAACCCCTGAACGAACCCGATAGATATAAGCCTTACGAGCCATATTTACCCCCAAATCGCTTCTTTGATTCGCCCCCCTACAGATATGACGACAAGTATTACAACAACAGGAACAGAGACAGATTCTGGGGCTTGGATAGGTACGGGTGGGGTTCCTATGGGAACTTTGGACATCGTGACTCCAATTACGGGTATAAGTATCAGTACAATAATAGAAACAGATACGATATAGACAGGAGAAACTATTACTTACCTCCCAGAGTCGATACTCCAAAGGACTGGGGTCTGTATGGAGGTACTTACGGTAATGGTGGGAATTACTACCATTACGACAGCTACGGTAACAAACAAAAATACGATTACTGGGGTTTTTATAAGTACCAAGAGAAATATGATGGTCAGAAACACTTTTACGGGGATCTTCCTCCAAACAGAGGCATCGGTTACTTACCCGCATCTAGACCAAGTAACGATTTGCCTCCCTCTGTCGGATATTTACCCAAGCGCCCAGGAGGAAGTTACTTTCCCAAACTTCCAGGTGGAAATTACCTGCCCAGTCCTCCAGGTGGAAGTTACTTTCCCCTACCTGCCAAGCCTAACATCCATGAAAGTCACTTTGGTTATAGCAGCGGAATTATTTCCACTGACAATTTTGATAATTCCATTCTACCTGCAGAGCCTAGAAGGCCACCCAAATATGATTTTATCAGAGACGGTAAGAGCGTTATGTATTTTAAAAGCTTCATAATCTGTCGTTCTTGCTTTGCATGAAATATTTGTTCAAGGGGTTTATACACAAAGAGCTCGAGACTAACCAAACAAAATATTGTCATAATAATTTGAACCAATTTACCTATTACTTCTCCTACAGTCCACGATATTGAAACGTTTGAGATTCGCAAATTAAGCTGTTATCTTTTGCTTGAAATAAAGCAAAGATATTATAGACAGTATGAAAATAAACGCAAAAGTATGTAATAGCACTATCCAGTAAAGTATTACCGAACGTCCAAATAAAAAAGAATATCAACCACATTCCAAAAGATCCATTTTCTATGCCACATATTACAATATACATAACATCCAGGACGACTCAATTTGCCGCTCTCTAGAGATATTTTATGTACCACTCCCTTAATAGTTTTTATTGCTAGGGTTAGTAACACATACAATAATTCATTGCTGTCATTGGCTGGGAGAGTCTGCCAAAATAAAATGTTTATAGTGAACAGTAATTTTGATGAATGGAAATTTGTTGTTGTGTTGTTGTGATAATTTTTATAACCTTTCTGAAGTCTGTCTGTATGAATAAAATAATCAATAATAGTGCGAAATGAAATGAAATCTGAAATTAAGGTTAATGACATATTGTTGATCCACCTATTTAGCTGAACCAAGGTAATTGTTTGTTCCCAAGAACATTATTTAAATTGCGTGGCATACCATTTAAACCCAAATTTTCAAAAGACCCTACAAACTTTTGCCCTTTTATTGGGACCTCGTTAAACGTACTACGAGTATATGTTTAGACTACATATGACATAATGACATACCAATTCAAAATTGTACCTCTAGATATCTGCTTTTTCTACTATTGTACCTGTATTGTAGAAGGTCAATTCGTTTTATTTATAATCATAAAACGAACATATAATGAATATATTATTGAACAGTATGTTAACACAGTTTAATAACTCGTTTTAAAGAGAGCATGTCATATATATTTGGTTATGGCAAATATAAGGTAAGTAAGAATAACTGTCCATTTATTAATTGCATTTATATTTATATTAACGGATAAAACTTAATATATATTTATCCGTTTAAGAACTATGTTCTTGTGCGACAAGTTTTATATGCCTAAACCTAATTAAATCGAATTGGGGGGAACAGGCAGTACAATGTGGGTGAGATAGAACCTTCAAAGTATGCCCTGTCTTTAATGGCATTGTTACTGGCATAACATATTGATTGCTGACCCATGCTTTTAACTGTTTACTAGATATTGTAGGTGTAATTCAATGCTGGATGGACATGTAGTCCTCAGAGTAGTTGTTTCCCACAATAATATTAGTTAAATATAGTGGTTTGACCTTGAAAGATACTACGTAAAAATAAATATTATAACTGCAACTGTAATAACATTGACTTATTGCACTTTTAATATCAGTTACTTTAGATGGCAGCAGAGAGAATTCTTAAGGTGGCCATATTCCTGGCTGAGAAATAGTGAAATTTCTGGCGTTTTTAGGTACTGAAATCTTTAAAAGTAAAACGTGTAGAACAAAAGTAAGCACAAAAATAAAATCCTTGATGTTTTGTTTATTCATTGTTACCATTTAAATTTACTCAAATAAAATAATAACTAAAAAAAAAGCGTTTGTAAAACATGCGTTTGTTGTTATTCTAACCCCACATTTTAAGAATTATTTTCACGTACTTATAAATAAAAGTAAACAATTTTATATGTAGGACTAAAAAAGTAAATGTTATAAGAATATTTATATGTGGAATTATATATAAAAAAGTTAGTATTTTCGTAGATTTCAGTACCTAAAACCTTGATGGTTTGATCGTTTTTTGCACCTGTTTATTCGTTTTACTGCGGCGTCTTTGAAAATACCCAGATGGCATGACATAACATTCCTATTATTTGATAAGCTTTAGATTATTCAGTTATTAAATGTTTGAAATTATTTGTCTTTGCGGAAAACACTGTTTAAAGAATATGGGGCCCTTAATACTTCAAAAAATTGTTATAGGTAAAATTGTTAACAAATAACTTAATAGTAAATGCCAAAGATAAAAATCAGTAATGCTACAGATAAGTAGTATATTCCATAGGTAGATTATCATAAGATCGACGTAAAAACCATTTATGGATATTGTGAACATAAATGGGCTCAAATTAATACCTTGGGGAATACCTAAATTATAACATGAGGACGACTCAAAACTATTTTATTTCATATAAGATATGATCTTTTAATTAGTCCGAGTCCTATTTTCACCAGTTGATTTCAAAAATAAAAATATATTATTTGTCTACATCAAAATTATTATAATTTTTTCACATATACATTTCCTAAGATCTCCCTTAAAAGGTTTGTTAAGTTTTTTGAAAATATTAACATTTTTTAATTTTTAGAATGCTCATTAAGAAGCGCAGCAGGATTCCGACTCCACAAGGGAATAGTAAAAAAATTCTATGCAGTACCCAACATCTATGAATGCGAATTGTTGTGTTTTAGAGAAAAAGACTTCCCCTGCACTTCATATGCCTATAGGTAAACTCATACCATTATAAGACAAAGAACAATACAATGTGATCTTGGTTTCAGGTACACTATCAGCTTGGCAGCGCCAACTGATAACTGCTACCTAAGCAATAGGAATTATAAAGAACTGGACTATTACACTGACATAGAACCGGATAGGGATTTCGATATTTATACGATGAATAATAGAAATAGATGTGAGGCACCTATCGTTCATGGCAAAGACAATAGTGGTAAGAGAAAATACATTCTATCGTAAATGAAGTCCGTTTCCTAATTAACTTGTGAAACAATTTTAATGAGTTTTGCTCTAATTTTTAGAATGTTTTTGGAGAGTAAGAAGTGGACAAAGATTAGATCATAAGGTAGTGAGAGATTCATTGACCGCCAAGTCTATAGTAGAATGCCAACTTGAGTGTTTAAGGACCACCAGATTTACTTGCAGAGCTTTCAGCTATAGGTATTTTTTTTTCTTATTTAACAATTTCAAATGTAATACGTTTTCTTATATTTAATCGAAACTATGCTGTCCTTTTTATTACTGTCATTCACAATTAGGAAGTTTGAAAACATTTTCGATAGTAATTAACGAACTCTGATCTATTAGATATGGTTCACCAGTTATTGGTGGAGTCATAGACAACTGTCAGCTAACGGATTGGCCCTACCTTGAGCTGGATCCACGTTCTCACTTTGTTCCCGAACCAGGATTCGAAGTATATGAGAGAGGAAGCTTCGGGCATGGTTGTGAACCTGATCATTTTGGAATCAGGAACAAGCAGAGGAAAGATGAAGGCACCAAAGTGGATCAGTGTATGTCACAGTTTGTAATAGGCGGTATCGATTTTACGATTTATTTATTTGTAGTGTGTTACATTGGATTCGGTTCTCCTGCAAGACTACTACCTCAGGCTGCGAAGAAGACATTGTATGTTTCCACAGAGTTGGAGTGCAAAGCAGAATGTTCGAAGTCTAGAGAAGGAACCCTCTTCCAGTGCATGTCATTCAGTTACAGGTACGAAATTCCCAGGGTTTTATATACCTATAATTTTTATATATTTAAGTCAGCCAACGAATTTTTACTAAAGTATTTTGTTACTTCACCCTCTTCATAAATTTTCTCTAATTTTTCTAATCTTTGAATACTCTTCAAGTTTAATAGTAATAGTTGCAACTCATGTTTTCTTTATGATGTTTTATTATGTTCATTTATAGGTCCAGCGGACCCAAGGATGTGCCAAACTGTCAACTATCAGACATTCTACAGAGAGATTTACTACCAAATGTGGATTATGTCCACGATCCAGACTATTGGCTCTTCGCTTGGGATAATTACAGCCCTGAGTGTATCCGTCTGGCGAATGAACCGGTGCATGGCAATACCATAGGAGGAGGCAAGGAAGGTGGTATTGATGGAAGATATGGATGGGGTAAATAAGTTTCTCTATAACAAAGTTGTATATTCTTTTTATAGCTGGAGATTGATCTACTTGTAGGTCCAACTGCCTCATATTTTAATATATTACTACTGCTTTTAGATGTATTCAACGCTCTGGACACTTGGAGGGTATACAGTGTCAGTGGATGGCCCTGTCGTCGTGGCAGTCTGTGCCAGGAGAATAGGGAGGCGGGATTCTGGTTCTGTGAACTGGAAGGTGGAGATAAAAGCTCTTGGGATTATTGCTGCAGGCCGGATCATCAATGTGGAGCTTCCGATGGATATGGATACCAGTGGTAACTTCTTATTTGATATTTCTACATGAGCTTTGGGAGATTTATTCTTGTAATTGAGTTGTGTCTTATTTATTTCTTTAGCTATTTGTTCTTAAATCATAGATTTTATGGACTATTAATTATAATGACCTATTTTTCTTCTGTACAGGTGTTACGTAGGACCCGTGAGAACGCAATGGAGAAAATGTAGTGATAGATACTACCCATACGTACATAACGTCATCGGAAAAGTAGATATTTCGAAACTATATCTTCCACCTCCTCAGAGACCTTCATGGAGACCACCCTCCTACAGACCTGGAGGACGACCTGATAGACCTCCAGCGGTACCATTGGATCCACCACCAACTCCTAGTTTAGATGAGTACGAGAAGCTATTTGAAGATGAATTTTTAGATCCTCCAAAACCAGGTAAAAAAATCAAGACATAATTGAATCACCACATATCTTAGATTATTTTAAAGAATGATCTTCATGACCATTAAGGTATTAGTTGAGATGCTTTCATTTCTCTGTTCTTTCATTCTAGATGATTACTTCACTATAGTTTAACCTTATTTCATCAATAAAAATAGACCTCATATTTTATTGGGACTTATTAAATTTTGTCTTTCAGGTGGTTTCGTCCAGACCAGGCACTGGCCCGTATCTTACTTACATAAAGAAATGCCACCAAACAGTACAGATTCTGAACCCAGACTCATGCGGATGGAAAAGAATTCAAATTCCAAATATGCAGCTATCCAGAACTTGATCAACGTCATCAAGAATAACGACCTGAAGAACGTCCAGTATCACATAGCTAATGAATCCAACAACGCCGAAGATATCCTCTTCGTCAAAATACCACTCCCCACCAACTTTACTGAAGAAACTAAATCTCATAAAAGAAATTCCGTACGGAGCAATACAACTGTGAGTTTGCAGACGGTTTACTCAGATGAAGGAATCAACATCCAAGCGAAAAGATCTCACAAAGGGCTGCCTTTTGTGTCAACACGGTTGTACGAAGGGAATAAAGATTCGAATTATAGGTTCGAGAGCGATACTTATCGATCATCTCCCTCTCCCGTGTACAGACGGGGTTTCGTGACCAGGGCTAATATCACTGAAGGACGGCTGGCTTTTTAGCTTTTAGTAATTGCCACAATGCTTTTAAATAGATTACTTTTAATAAAAAATATTTTAAACTTATGTAAAATTGAGTTTTATTTATGAATTGAAACTGCATTGGATATTCTTACTTATATTATTGATTTGACTTGGTTATTAAAATTGCGAACTAATTTAAAAGACCATCAATATATTTGTTGCAGTAAGGTTTAAGTTTGAAAATGTACACTTAAATACCTCGAAAAAAGTATTTCAGTAATGGAGTTGTAATACAGTAGCTTCTGAATTCTAATGGTCTTGTATGCTATAAAATTATTCCTCTTTTATATTTTTTTAATATATTGTCTAAATGGATTGTCGATATTTTTGATATCACCTTTATTTTTGGAATTTTGTTGTGAGATATTTTCTAAAGTCATCAATAAATCATGGAACAAAAATGCACTTGTAACCTAAACTTAACGGCACAATTTTAAGAGAATGCTAAACAAGTAAAATAAAACGAAAACCTAATTATGTTTTCTTTGGTAAATGGTTTGTAGCCATTGGGTCGTACCGTCTTTGATTTTTGAGGATGAGACGTTTCCAAATTTCAGGTAGTTCTAACCCTTTCTTTCAATATCTCAATTCTGGTTAATAATAATAATAATTTTTATTTCCTCTAAGACAAAATACAAATTGTCAAAATAATTGCTTTACAAACTAAACCATAAAAAATTCGTCTAAAGTATAATAACAACTTTCGACTACAAAACCTTTTAGCACATTTTTAAAAACTTTTAAACTTTTAACATGCTTAATGTGATCACTTATATGATTAAAAATCTTAAGACCAAGACATGACGGTGAATTTAATGAAATTTTATATTTATAAAAATTTATATGATATTTATCATTTTACCTTGTATTAATGCAGTGAATATCTCTATTCTTCAAAAATTTATATTTATTTATATACACATATACAGATAATTCATAAATCCACCGACAACATAAAGTTAAAATTCGAAAATCCTTAAATATATTCCTACACGACACAGTATTCGCAACACCTGCCATACATCATATTTTTTTTGAACAATAAAAATATCTGAAAATAAAGTTGAACCACCCCATAAGCACAAACCATATCTCAACCTAGACTCGACTAAACCGTAATATATATATTAAATAGTTGTTCTTTAGTTAAAACAGATTTTACATTCCGAATTAAATATGTCACAGAAATTAACTTAATATTCAATTGTTCACAATGTAATTTCCAATTTAGACCTTCGTCAATAGCAATTCCCAAAAACTTAATAAGCATTATTACTAACCAAATTGTGCTTTCCAATTTTTAAATTCAATGAATTACAAATTTTTTGACGATTGTGAATTCTTATATACTGAGTTTTCTCTACATTACAGTGTTGTTTGTTAGAAACGTACCAGTTATTTAAGATATCTAGCATCCTATTGCATTTATATTCTACATCATTATGAGATTTAGCTGAAATAATAACAGATTGATCATCGGCATACATAGAAAGAAACATTTCTGGTATGAAAATATCCAATTCATTGGTGTGTAAAATAAACAGTATCGGGCCTAGAACTGAACCTTGAGGAACTCCTATTTCAACTCACCGAGTTAAAAATTTTGTGTAAACCACCGTGTTCATCACAATGATGAGTCAAGTTTATGTCCCCTATCTTTCAAAAACGAGGTGTTCCAATCTAAAGGTACGCCCCTTATACCATATGCATATAATTTTGTCAATAATTTATTATGATCCACACAATCGAACGCTCTCGTGAGGTCGCAAAAAATACCTACGGTTAATTTTTCATAAAATGGAAGTATAGCTGTATTTGTCGACCTACCAGGGCAAAAACCTTGTTGACTAGCTATAATAATATAATTTCTATTTAAGGAAGGTAAAAGACGATTCAAATAAGCATATTCAAATATAAGAGAGAAAGTAGAACATATGGTAACAGGTACATAATTTCTAACTAACTTCGGACCGTTCTTTTTATATATAGGTACTATATATAAAAACCTACTTTCAAAGACTTTGGAAAAACGCCGGTATTAAACGATAAATTTACTAGACATGTAAGTGGTGTAATTATTACATTTAACACTTTAATAACAATAGATGGTGGAACCTCGTCAAAACCTGACGATAATTTATTTTTTAGTTTACTTTTCAACAGTTGTAATAATTCCTCCCCTACATAAGGTTGCATAAAAAGAGAATGTTCGAAATTTTTAATATCTGCAGCAGACATAGTATTACTTGGAATTTTATTCACAATATTAACGGGGATGTTTATAAAAAAATCGTTAAAAATGGAAGCTATTTGTTCTGGTTTAATAATTCGATTATCATTTTTAAGAACAACACTTAAGCGTTTTTTTTCTTTTCCCGGATAGTTCTGATACCAAATTCCAACTAGCCTTAGCTAGGTTGTCAGAATTATTTAATCTGTTTTGATAGAACCGTTTCTTTGTTTCACGTAATAATAAGTTATGCCTCTTTTTTAGACTTCTATAGGTAATACTTAATTCAGGTTAGGATAGTTACCGAGGATTCTTTGGAAGGAACTATTATTATTGGAGGAACTTGCCAGCCCGTTTATCCAATACCTATATAATTTTGTGCAAATACACGGAATGCTATATACATTGCAGCCTTAGAGTAGACTGCTCCCGGAGGTGGTATTAGAAAGGCTGTTTCTATATTCTTTGATCCACTGTGGATAGTATTATCTTTGTGTTTCTTTAAAAGATGGTTTATCTTATCAATTCATTTTTGTATATATGATAGATAGATTGTTTCTTAGCTGGTATGACGTCACTTAGCGTTTAGTTTATATTCGTGCGTCTTAAGCTTTCTATAGACGGTATGCCCCAGGATACCGTCTGATATTCCTTTGGCAAGGACATCTAGGATCGGCAGGGTACCATTCTGTTCTATCTCCTTACTGAAGCTGATATTGAGATATATTCCATTGATGTGGTTCTGGAATCTGTCTTGTTATATCCATGGGACCAGATTATTAAATGTACATTTCTGTACCAACACTTTGGCTTTACTGACTCCAGGGTTTACTTTTCGCACGTTTCCATACAAATATTTTCTAAAGCTGTAGACAAGCTGCTGCTTCAGGTTGTTCGTTAAACTAATTCTTAAGGGAGAAGATCGTGCACAAGTTTATCAAGTCCACTAAATTATCGTCCTTGTTTTCTGCAATGATAAAGTTTTTCTAAAGCTTCTTCAAAACAACGTCACGTCAAAATTCAATAGGATATAGCTGAATCTAATCGGATTCCCTTGATTTTGTCAATAAAAACTCCGCCGTTTTCTTCTACTACCTGCAAAGCGTTTTCTATATTTGCAAATATTTTGACTGTTAACGTTCTATTACCCGTTCTTTCATTGTTTAGGTTGCACCTTTCCTGTTTTACGACAACGACATTCGATTTTCTATTGAGCTAGATTCTGTTAGAATTTCTTTTCCTGGACAACCTTCCTGATATTGCTGATAATATGTATTGGTAGAAGTTGAAATCCACTTTTTCACCTTTTCAGGTCTATTGCAGTAAAAACTATAATAAAAAATCTAATTTGGTATGTATCATATTAATATATCGTATCTTGGGATCATAAGGGATTAAGAAAAAACGAGTTTAAATTTTCATCCTCTTTTGATTTGTTTAGCATATTATTCCTAATGTTGTCCACCATTTTAATTGCTCTTGAACTATGCAACTGCCTATAGCAATATATTTTTCAACGAAAGACAAAAATGTCGTGTTTTATCTTGAGCGAAAAAAACCACCAGGTTACCAATTAAAAAAAGAGATTTAAAGTTGAAAATTATTTTTACAATATCTGTATAAATGGTATTCCAAAAGTAACTTATATTTGATTTGTAGGGTTGGCAGCATTGTGAAGGGTCACGTGTTGTGGTAAACATGTTGCGATTAAACAAAATGGAGTGCTATACGAGCGCTATACCAGCTGAAACTCCACACCACACTGCCACTCTTTGGATATACAGTGGTCGTTCTTGAATGACCCGAGGATTGTCTCTGTCTCAAATTCGACAGTTTTTCTATTCACATACCCACTAAGATGGAAATAAAGATGAGTTTTGCCTTGTTAATATGGGTCAAATCTTGTAACTGAATTTTAAAACAGTTATCCCTAACCGATTGAGCTGACATTTTGCATACACGTTTAGTTTGGATGACGATGCATGGTGGCACTAAAAGTTTGTTTTAATTTTTTTATACATGAACTTAATGAAAAGTTTAGCCGCCGTGACCGACAAACACTGAGGTTAAGGAATTTTCGCCACACTATCACCGTAGCAATATTTTTGGTTACAGCCAGCCTCTTTTTTTATTATCTGCAATCGAACCTGTTGTTCAAATTTGACAACTAATCTTTTCAGTTGTTTCATTCGGCGCGTTCCTTCTACCGAAAATTCCACGTAATTTGCTCAGTCTCAGTTACACACTCTCCATATTTGTAATGAATTTCTACAATCTTCACTCGCTCATCCGTCATATAGAGCTCCATTTTGTCTAACCGCAACGTGTCTACTACAGCATGTGACCCTGCACAATGATGCCAACTTTTCGAAATGAAAATGGCGCGGAATTCAAAACCTGCGTTACTTTTGGAACACCCTTTATAATTTTATATCCAATTCAAGTGAAAATGAACTAATGCACAGGAAATTAGTAACGAATTTTTTAGTTGTTCTTCATGGAAACACTCATAGGACGTAGAACACAATGATTCTTAATTAAAATATCGATTTATTGTAGTTTTTTTAATATTTTTAGGTTGACACTTTTGTGAGACCTGAATTTTTAAGAACATGTATGAGATAGAAATTTAACATAATTGTCAGATTGTTTTTTATTTATAGATTCTAGACGATACAGAACCATACGTATTTTTCAATCAGTTGTGACAAAATGTATTAATAAATACAGGAACATAAAAAAATAACTTTTAAATGCCCCACAGAAAAAAAACAAAAGAAATAATTACTGAAGGACCTTCGAAAAGCCATTTTTATTTAATTTGACTTGCTAGAATTTGTTGATTATATTTCATTTCTTCTTTTACACTATTTCAGATTTATTCAGTTATCTTACTACGGAACAATGTTTTGAAGGTAGTTGCAAAATAATAATGACTATACGTATTAAAGTTTTATTCATGTTTAATATAGCACATAATTACACAATATTTTGTTTAGTGACTAAAAATACGTTTTATTACTTCTAACAATGTATTACTTTCAGACATTTCTACAAGGTCCAAATTCGTATTAAGCAATTTGGTAACAAACTGGAAAGTTTAAAAGTAATATATAAAACCTAAGAATTATATTAAATACCTTACCCATAATTTACAAAAAAAAAAAAACAAGGAATGTTATTTACACAGTTTACAAGTACAATTACAAACTAATATAGCACCATATTATTCAATGCATTTTTATTTCGTATCAGTACACTGAATCTTAGAGTACGTCGTGTTAGGTCAAAAATAGCAAGTAAGTACCGACGTTTTCAACTCCGATTGAAACTCGGTTAGCCAATAGCACGATTAGTTTATAAAATACACGAAAACTACGTATATACCCCTCTAATCGTAAGATTAGATAACGGAATCTTAACTGAAGGCAGTATCGGCCCTAAAGCTGTTTAAAAACTTAATAATACAATCCAGTTTCCTTTTCACTAGGTTCTCTGGCGTAATGAAAAAGAAACCGCATCCGTCAGGTGATCTAAATCTATAAGGCACATTTTAAATATTAACTAAAAGTAACTGACAGTGGGTTCATCTCAGACACTATTTAATCGACATTAAATGCGAGAGAACGACTCTGAAACAGCAGATGGCACATGATCTTGTACTCTGCTTATATTTACATTTAAAAGTACGATTGATCACAGTCTCTGGGTGCTTCCCGATATTTTGCTCTTCTTCGACATCTTGAACCATCCTGCAGACTTCTCCGGGTCTCTTGGCATGGAAACTGACCGAGATATGTCTCTGCTCTCGTCCCTCGACTTCCTCATCGACCTACCATTACTTCCTAGTGATTCCACTGACAAACTCTTGGACGATATCTTTTTGTCCTCCCTGTCCTTGGTGTATCTAGAGTTTTCTCGTGGTAACCTATCCTTCTTCTTGTACAGCGTGGAACTGGAACCCCTAGACAACTCCTCCCTGGATCTCCTCAAGGTCTGAGATGATACGTTCTCTTTACTTTTAGATCTTCTATTCAACGTGGAGTTGTTATTCTTTTTGGTTTCCTGTGCCTTTTTCTTGAGGGTCGAGGTGTTGTCTTTGCGACTGGACGTGTTTTTAGGAACTCTCTGCTCGTATTTGCCGTTTTTGCTAGGTTTCGGATACTGTGTGTAGTCGATATCCATACCTTCCCTAGACAATCTTGGTTTCCATGGTGCCAAGACTGAGAACGATCTGCTTAGGGTTTTGACTTGAGGCTGGATCCGGCTGGAGCCGTTAGACGCTAGTTCTTCTCTAGACGCAGCTCTTCGGCCGTTGCGAATGTAACCGGGACCTGGTATGTCTCCAACTGCAAATAAATAAAGAGTGAGTTTGTGACTATTTAATTAGACGGTTGGTTTACATTTGCTTTTAACTTTTTTTAAAGACATTACATGAAATAAAAAAAATGCTTACCAGTAGCCGCGTGAAGGTACACAATACTCCTCTGCGACTGTTGACTACTATCGCCCTCTGTCGAGCTCTCCACAGAGCTCACTTCGTTTTTCCTCCTCCGCCCTCTTTCCCTCTCCTCCCTCTGCCTGGGGACTTCCCTTGGAGCCCTATTACTTGGAGATATGGGCGGTTTCAGACTCACACGGGACCCCTTAATGTCCCTGTCAGACTCCGATATATTCATCATGGACTTGTGGCTGTTTTTCCTCACGTTCAGTTCTGGCGTTCGTAACTCCTCGGAGATGTTGTGCAGGTCTCTGGTCGACTGACTCCTGGTGCGGTCTCTGTAAGAGATTCCAGGTCGGGTTTTGAGGGAGGATCTGTGGCGGACACTGTCGTTGGACTCGATGTCGGTGTCGCCGAAGAATCGGAGGTTTTTCGTGGGGATCGGTTTCGTAGGGGTGTCCTCTTCCGTGCCGCTAGTGAAGTTGCCTTCCCTCTCATCCTGAAAAAAAAAAACTATAAAATATACGTCCATTCAATAAAAAAATTCTGATATCAACTTCATAATTAAAGAAAGAGCTAGAGGTCCTTAACTGGAGACTTGAAAGCAATGAGCAAACTTATGTTTTGTTTTTTAAAATAGGAATAGATTTCTTCTGCAATGATTAACATGTTATTTCTAAATCGGGGTCAAAACTTTGGATAATTTTATTTTCAAAGGACTTACATTAATTAATGGTCTAAAGACAACAGATCATGGTGAAGATCATCAACTTATATATTCCAATAAAGTAAACAAGTATCACACGCTTGATAAGCATGTAGCCGCGAAACCATTGGTCGAAATGGGATTGAATGGCATCTCCACCAAAGAACAAGTACATAAGAGAATTTCACATCGTATAATAATAATTATCATTTCGTATTGTTGAGGTTGAGAATTTAAATTATCTAGCATCGATTTGGCTGATGAATTGGTTGATATATACTAATGTAAGTTGATATAGATTGTGATTTATTTTCGAGTTTTACACTTTCAATTTCCTAAATGTATCCCTGTCTACCCTTATGATCACGCCGCAACTGCGTGCAATTATTTACTACATTGGAATATATAAAGCGAATGTTTAGAAAGAAAAGGGATAGCAGTGTGCTCATTTTTTTGATAAAATACAATAGTTTGCTTCATTGCTCGCTATTACTGAGTTACTAGTACATATCGTTAAATTGGGCTCGGTTATCCTAGTGGCATCTGTCAGGAATAATTATAAAAATATGTTTTATAGTGTATGACAGTAGCTTTCTCGAGTCACCACTGAAGATGCCAACAATGACGGACGGTGTTTATAACCACGGATGCGACTAGTTATAGAGTCCATGACGGAACGTCCCAGAGTTTTGCCATTTTCTGAGTAAAAGTCTCATTCGTAACGACCTCAAAACCGACAACAAGAACCGAATTAATATTAAAGCGCTCCTGAGGGTTCTGATAGTTGGTCCGTCCATACAGAGCCTAGCCCAAGAGCCGCAAATGCAACAAAGATTCCATGGTACTTTAAATGTAAACATTAAACATGTGCCGTCAAAGCATTAAGAGCACCATCCTGTACCATGAATGTTCTACAGATTTGAAATATTTGAATTTGACCCATATGTTTGAAAATTATTACAAATTTTAATAAGCTACGTTTTTCTCAAGATTTATGCATTTTCGAAATAATTTAAATATACAATATATACTGTTTTTCGCTAAAAACAGCTGCCTCTTTTTATGTACGAGCATGTATTTTAAGCAAAATTTCGCTATAGTTCATTATTTAGAAAATTGAATTTCGCATGGAAATGGCTTATTTAAAAAATTTAAAAGGAAGATTTTATGTAAAAAATCATTAATAAACAATTTGAAAAAAAGCAAAAATTTCGATTTTTTTATTTTTTTACATTTTTGCCTCCAGTTTTTTTTTTGAGTGGAGATAGGTATAGGCATCTCTTTATAGAAAAAAAAGTAGATAAAATTTCCTTCAAAATAAGAGGTTGTAGAGTATTTTTGGATGAAAATTGACTGATGTATGGCCTCTCAAACTTACAATTAGCCAATCGATTTTCGTCGCGTTTAATTCTCATTTTTTTGCAAAAAATTATGGACATAAGACGTTCTAGGTTTTTCATCATATGACTTGTTCGAAGGGTTATAAAAAATGAAAAAGAAAATTGAAGATAGGGGTGAACATGCACTTTTGCATTTTTTTAAATATAGCACGAAAACGAAGTAAAATTTTGGTATAGTTCATAGGAAAAATTTTGTAGAGAATTGAATTTCCCATCGAAAGGCTTATTTAAAAAATTTAAAAGAAAAATTTTATGCAAAAAATCGTAAAAAAAGCTAAAAATAAGATTTTGAAATCGTAAAAAAGCAAAAAATAAGATTTTTTTGATTTTTTTTACTTTTTTGAAGTTGTAAAAATCTTTATTTATTATTAGCATATAAAACTTCTGAAATAATTTTTTATTAAATAATTTGTTATAAAATTAATAAGAATTAATTATTATGTTAAAAACGACGAAAATCTAAAAAATATTGAAGTTTAATCGGTTATAACTCACGTCAATATTAGTCCAAAAACTTTTGAAAACGCTTCATTTTGAAGAGAAAAATTAGAGTCAAAAAAGTAAAAAATATCAAAAAATATTATTTTTTGCTTTTTTTAAATTGTTTATTAATTTGCATAACATTTTTCTTTTAATTTTTTTTAAATAAGCCATTTCGATGGGAAATTCAATTCTCTAAATAATTTTTCCTATGAACTATAGAGAAATTTTGCTTCGTTTTCGAGCTACAAAAACTGAAAGGGGTGCATTTTCACCCCTATCTCGAATTTACACTATCTAATTTAATAGCACTCCGCGGTTTTTTCATCTAAAATGACCTTTTGAACGATTCATGCTATAAAATTGCTTGAACGTCATAGTTCCTTTTAACCCAGTTTTTTTTAATATAATCAATATACTAATATACAGGATGTCCGTGTTATTTGCAGCAGGATTTTCACAACTTGTACTAAAAGTCTTTTAAAAAAAATTCATGTAAACATATATGTATAGATGCGTCGTTTTCGATTTACAGAGTGTTCAAGTTTAAAATGAGAATTGATTTTTTATTCGTAAAACGAAAACCCAATTTTAGACTCTGTTGAAAATTGGCAACTTTGTTTGTAATAATAATACTCATTTTCTCACATAATTTAATTTGTCCTATTTTCCCCAGTGGCGTCACAACAAGATACCAGCTTGATAAAAATAGAAAAAATATGGTACGCCACTGCTTTTTGGTAAGTTTGATTGATTTTTCTCAGACTTAGCTATCAAAAATACAACTTTTTTGTTATTTACTTTTTTTTCCTATCTCGCTTTGTTTAGACAGAAATAAAACTTTTTGTATCACACAGTTTATTGTAAGATAATAAAAAAAATAAACAACACGGTATGGAAAAACAACTTATTGTATAAATAGACCTCAAAGGAGCTGTTCGAAATGCCCGCCATTTCGTTCTACACACAAATTACAACGACGTATCAAAGACCGCCTAACGTCTCTCAAATGATGTGGAGTTATTCTGAGAGCAGCGTTCCAGATTCGTGGTAGAAGTTCCTCTTGCGAGTTAACAGGCGTAGAGTAAACTGCATCCTTAATAAATCCCCAAACAAAAAAATCCAAAGGTGTTAGATCAGGCGATCGCGGAGGCCACCCAACTGGACCTCCACGATCCACCCATCTCTGTATTCAGCCAGTTTCGTACCACCAAAGAGTACTGGGAAGGGCATCCATCTAATTGAAAAAACGAGTCTATTCTTTGTTGAAAAGGAACATCGTCTAGCATGTTATCATGCTGGGTAGTTAAAAATTCAAGAAATAATTGACCGCTTAATAAGGATGTAAGGTTCCAACAAAAAATCCTTGGCAACTCAAAAACAAACATATTCACGGCACACTTTGTAACAAGTAAATAAATAAATTAAGCAAATCTCGAACCTATTCATGAAAATGTTTTATTTCTGACTAAACAAAGCGAGAAAAAGTTGTATTTTTGATAGCTAAATCTGAGAAAAATTTCAAACTTACCAAATAGCAGTGGCGTACCATATTTTTTTCTATTTTTATCAAGCTGGTATCTTGTTGTGACGCCACTGGAGAAAATAGGACAAATTAAATTATTTCAGAAAATGAGTATTATTATTACAAACAAAGTTTCAACAAAGTCTAAAAAGGGGTTTTCGTTTTACGAATAAAAAATCAATTCTCATTTTAAACTTTAAACACTGTAAATCGAAATCGACGCATCTATACATATATATTTACATGAACTTTTTTTTTAAAGGACTTTTTGTACAAGTTGTGAAAGTACTGCTACAAAAAACGCGGACACCCTATATTTTTTTAATTGAAATTATGTCCTATGTATTTTTTGTCTGCCTTTGTCACTCTGACACATTTGTAAAAAAAAAATATTCATAAAAATAACCACGAATTTATCTCTTTTAATAACAAAAGTAGTAAGAGAAACAACTAAATTATGAGGAATACATGTATGTATATTTTTAGAAACAGTTATATAATTGAAAAGTTAAAAAATATCTATTGCTGTTAATGTATATTGCAAGAAAAATACAACTACAAATATTAAATATTTAACAGTTGCTCATTGAAACTGAATTTACATTTTTATTGCTCGCAATTCTATAGTTGTGAGCAATAAAATGTTTCCGACCTGAAGCTTTATCAAGTATTTTACAATCAATGCCTGAACTAACATAAAATAGGTAAAACACTCTGTATATAATACCGTTACAAAATTAGCATATCTCAACGGTCACTTTCTACTAAGACAATCGGCCAGCAATTAATTCGTCTATGAATCAGGATCGAAGTGATTTACGTGATAATAAATCGCAATCAACACTTACCTTATTGGTCTTCTTTCTGGAGAGCCTATCCAAGGACTTGAACCAGCTTCCGTGGGTGGTTTCTGATTTTCCGTTCCGCTGGGTCTCGCGCGTGGGACTTGGGCTCGGCGTCGACAGTCGTCTTCTGTTGCTGTAATCGTTGCTCTGCAAAAAAGATGCGGCGTTATAGTCTATCGATTAGACACCTAAATGACGAGTTGAGGGTTTATCTTGATCCCTCGAGCACGAAGCTGGCTACTTTACACCATTTTTTTTAATAGGAATTTAAAAGTGAAAACCTGATTCTAACCTAGAAGCCCCCTTTTTGAGATCACTTAGTTTTCAAAAAAATGTATATCTCTAAAAATCTTCTGAGCAAATGAACAAATTGCAACAAAATGTGAAAGAAACTAAGTGCCAATTCTAACCAGAGGTATACAGGGTATCCCAGCGAAAATTTGACCCCCCCTATAATTGGAAAACCGAATAATATTTCAAAATTCGCCGAGACCCGTCGATTTTTTTTCTTGGGGGGAGCTTTTTTGACAGTCAAGCCAACTCGATATGTTCATCCCCCTAATGCTTAGCAACCCCAACTTAAAAATTTCAAATGCAACTACCCCACTTGTGGCACATCGTTTTAAAGCCCTTTTCATTGCGAATACAGTGACGTACCGTTTTTAGAAATCGGTTGAGATTTGACAGAATTATTGGTTACAAACGAAAAGATGACAAACCAACTTACGCGTAGTAATTTCTACACAAATGCCCACCACTAATAAGTTTTTCATCTACTACACATGACCGCATTACCTAATTGTTATTGATGTGTCTATCAGTTTACAAAAAAGTCAGAATGAAAAAAAAAAAGCAAAGAACAAAAATCGACGGGTCTCGGCGAATTTTGGAATATTATTCGGTTTTCCGATTATAGGGAGGGTCAAATTTTCGTTGGGATACCCTGTATATGTTGAATATATGTATATTCCTCAAAAATTATGGCTTTCATATTTAATAGTAAATTTTATTTAGAACGAAAATTGTTTCTTGTTGTTGCTTTCTCGTCTATAAAAAATTGTACAGGTGATTTTAAAATTGGATTATAAAAGCAATTGGATGTTGCTTTTCGAAGATAAGAGTCATTTTTTTGGGAGGATAAGTTTGATATGATCAAAAAGTGCCATAACAATAAATTTTTTGGATTCTTTTAGTCATATTTCTTTTATATTTAGAGATAAATCAGTCAAACCTTAAAATCACTGTAATTGTACTGATGCGATGTACCGAAATAAGCAAAAATACACAGGGGGTTTTGAGAAAAAATATATACAGGGTGTTTCATAATGATGTGCAAATATGTTAGGGAGGTGTTTAAAAAGTAATTTTAGGGGGGGGGGTCCTTCCAATACACTTTTTCGATTTGAGGCCCCCCTTTGCAAAAAGCATGTCAAAAATTACGATCGTTTTTGGCAACTGTTATACCTACTAATTATGTGTACCTAATCGGCAAGGAAAAATAATTTATTTTTTTGCTCGTAAACCATTAAGTATACGAAAAATGGGAACAGTAGAAAAAGTTTCTAAATGAAATGTAGTATTAAAAGCTATTTTTCTTGTTGGAATTGCCTAACGTAGAAAAAGTTGTGAGAGAAATAAAAAAAGGGGTGCTAATTTCTTTCATTCAAAGACAAAAACCAGAAAAAAAAGACTACCAACAAATACCATCCAACTAGTTGCTAACTTGTACCAAAATTCAAATTTCTAAGTTTAACAGTTTTCGAGAAAATAAAAGCTAATTTTTTCGGCCATTTTGAGATTTGAATATTTTCTCAGAGGGCTCAAAACAAAAAAAAAATATATTGGAAGTACCACCCCTAAAATTATTTTCTAAACACATCCTTGAAATATTTGCACATCATTATGAAACACCCTTTATATGAGTGGCTTGTATCTCCGAAATGCGACATCCAATTGGTTTTCTAAGTACAGTTTTGTAATCGTAAGAAAATTTTCTGCAACTTTGGCACATATTATTTCATTCTAAGTATGAAAGTAAAAAGGATTTTAGTTACCCAAATACACTTCTCAATTTCGAGAATAGCAAAGAACAAATATGTTTCATGGTATATTTTTTCTATCTTTGAAAACTGTATATTAAAAACTAATAATCCACTATTTATATAATAAAACATTCATAACACTCTCCTTCATTTTTATGTGTGATACAGTACATATTTAAAAAATGCACCAGTTAAATAAAGAAAATTCTATAAAAAAAGCCGGATGTCCTGAATTACTCAAATTTGACTACTATTAACTATGAAAATATTAAACAATGACATATACAGGATGTCCTATAGGAAGCCAATACAGCAGATACAGAAAAATGTAGACAAAATTTAAATATATTGTTACTAGTATGTGTGACAACAAACAAAAATAGATAGAAGCTCCTGATATTTCGAAATTTTTTTAGATTTTCATATTTTTTATTGCTGTTATTAATTATTTCTGTATCAAAATTATATTATGCTTTTTATTATATTTATTACAAAATCATATTTAAATTTTCTTTAAAACATTTCCTTTAAATCTAATGGCATAAGAGGAATCCAATAATATACAGTCTTCCACCAGGACGGGAACAAACTTTAGGAAAACTATCTTCTGGTAAAAATAAGCAAAAAAGTTTTTATAAATCTTGGTCCACTCATCGATTGCGAGATTATAGACGATCAAATTAAAAAAAAAACTTTTTTTTAACATTTTAAGCACGTGCAATAATATGATTTTATAGCATAATACCTATATTTAGATATAAGAAAATCGGCCCTAACTTCTACAGTGTATAGATAGTTCAAGTAAGCAAGTAAGGTTTTATAAAACAGTTAAAATTCTTTAAAAGTTAATCACAACCTTAATAGTCTAGAAGACCTGAAACTTCCTTGCCAACTAGGTTATTAATTAATAATTTGTATTTAAATTTTTGAATAAATTCATTTCTTTTTATACCAGTCCTTTAGAAATTATACAAATTTTATGTTATTTAATTAAATATTTATACAACTATAAACACACTGTTTTATTGTACCAGATTTAAGTTTTTTTATAGGTTACTGTTATGACAATTCACTTTTTAAATATTATTCACAACTATTTATGTACTGGTAACATGATTTACGAATTCGTTATTAAAATAATAGAAAAATATGTTAAAAATGGGGTTCAATATTTGTTTTTCTAAATTAATTCTGTTTTTGATGGTGTAATTTTTGAACAGTGTTTTTAATGATGTAGTAGCAGTAAGAATAAATTCTGCCTTCAAGATGATTTGTCTTCTGGCTGTTGGTCTATCCTTCTGAACATAAATATAAATAAAGCCCCACAAAAAGAACACCACCTTAAAAGTTTAATTTGCATAATAAATGTACCCCGGCAGTTAGAACAAACCAAGAGGCGATCCTATAAATCTTCCCTGGATATGGACGGTAGGGGCCTTCTTAATTGGCGAAAACTAATTGAATTGACCACGAGAGGGTTATTTATAGGTGGTCGTTCTCAAAAATTAATGGCCAAGCAAGCGCGTTGGTAAAGATTTACGTTATTTTTAATCAGAAGCACTAATAGAAAAATTAATAGTATATTCCATTTAGGGTAAGCTGAAGTGTTGGGAGAGTATGCGAAATGGGCCACAACCAATAACTTTTGAGATAGGTTCGGCAACAAATTAGATTTCTAATGAGACGAAGTTGCATTAGCATTTAGAATAAGAAAAACGAGTGATCAAAACTTTTAATTGAAAATAAAATATTATACGATTTATAACAATATTTGTTATTGTTAAGAAATGGTGAATTTAGGCAAATATAACATTTTTAAAGGTTTAAAATCCATGACTCATACCAACTTAATAAGCTAGATGTAGATTCAGTGTTTACTGCAGATATAGAATATATAGAAGAAAAATTTGTCAATCAGATTTGCAATATATATTTACTTATTTACAGTGCGCCATGAATTTGAAAATAGTGCTTGTAGAATATTTAAACCATGTTACACATTTAGTGTTAAATTGTGACGAAAATTAAGATTCGTCTTGTAGCTTGAAAATGATTAAAGATACAACGCTGTATCTATTTCCTCTACGGAGGTTTTGTAATTCTGAAGGTAACCAAAGAATCACTAAACACTGATAGAGTGACAAAAATAGCCAAGATGTAGAAGTCCGCAATGTTGCTCTTCATTTCTATCTTCACAACTGCAGAATGCTCGGACTATTCGACGCAGAAAAGTCTAACCTACACCGACAGGAAAATCACACCTACCGGACTACCCCTACGCCCAGCGGTCGACACCGAACATTTTTTAGAATTTGAATATTTACAATGTTTAAATGTTAAAATACAAGCTGTTGCATAATGTCTATGAATTTTAATTTAATTTCGAAATTTTTGCAGTATTTTAAAAACATCTTGTTGAAATAATTTTCGGAAGCACTCTTTGTATACCTATATAGAAAAGTATCTTTATTTAAAAGGACGTATAGGGTTGGACAAGACCAAAACTGGTAATCCTAATTGCAAATAAATATTATTTCAAGCTCAAATTTTCTCTTCTATATATGCGGATACGTTTTCTTAAAGGTATCTATCCGACTTTACGAAAATTGAGTCCGGTTGCTCAAATTATTATATGTGTCCTTGTTATTCTTACGACTTTAGTGAGAAATAATGCTAGGTCGAGATCACTACGAGGCAATTTTCGTAAACGCCTATTGTACTTATTTGCAGTTGTGGTGAAGGCGCCGGTAAATGCAAAATTATCAAAAATTCTACAATTCTTTCGCAAATTCTTTATAGTTCAACATGATATGCAGATTGTATTAGGTACGATAGATACGCCTAATTATTATTTCGATATATCGTGCCGGATGCATCTTAAATAAATGTATTAAAAAATTGTTATCACCAATAATTGTATAATAATAGGTGAGATTATATCGCTTTCAATGAAAGCATTGTCCTGTCGTCTCTTGTTAATATTTTCATTGATTTAAATATCTGCGGTCCTTGGATTGTCAAATTGTTTGATATTAAATTGCGTGTTTTGCAAGGCCAAAATTAATAGCCCTCTTATCGTAAGAATAACTTAATTTATTTTTCCAC